CTGGAGCAGATTCCAGCCATCAGCTTTGATCTGGACCCAGGGTGGGCTGGGCCAGAAGCCAGTTCCTCTGCTCCTTGGTACTGGCCTTACTGCATCCTCCTGTGGCCGCCTCTAATTTAAAAATGATCCAAAGACTCTTTGGCTCTTCCTTGCTCTGACAAAGCCAACTTGCCATGGTCAGCACACCTCTGGTCACTCTTTCCCACAGACACCATTTACCACTGTGGGCTTGGCAGGTAGAGATGAAAGCAGGAGGAATTTTTTTTAAATCAATTATAACAACAAAAAGATTAAGGGAGTAGATTTATATATTTTAAAAAATATATAGCTACATGATGAATGTAATTGTCACTGAATTTTACAAATAAAACTGGTTTAAATGGCTAATGTTTTGTTATATATATGTTTCACCATAATAAAAATTATCTCTAAAAAAATCACAACTCATTTAAGTTATATAAACATTTATTTTGGAATGTTACTGTAATATTTAAGGGGCATGCACCACCCTTAGTCAACTCTCAGTTCTGATCTGCATCACCTTTTATCTTACAAGAGATTGTAAGATAAAAAAATCCCAATCTAATTCTGTAAAGATTTACTGCCTCAGAAACCCAGTGGGGGTTGCTATGAGTCTGAATTGACTGGTGGCAGTGAGTTTGGTTTTTGGTTTGGATTATAATATTTGTGTCCTGGCTACACCAACTCTTTTCTCTCTGTATATTTTCTCAAAGTGCCTTTACATGAAACTCACTGAAAGTCTCTGAATAACTGAGGATGTGATGAATAGCATTACTTTATTATTGTCTGTAAACAAAATCAGGTCCTAATCCTCATATGTATGCAAGTGGCAATTATTTCCACCTGGCCTCCCTTCGCTTTGGAAGTCCCTGGCGGTGCAATGGTTAGGTGCATGGCTGCTAATTTAAGGTCAGCAGTTCAAACCCACCAACTGCTCTGTGCGACAAAGATGTGGCAGTCTAGTTCTGTAAAGATTCCCAGCCTTGGGAACCCTATTGGGCAGTTCTACTCTGTCCTAAAGGGTTGATATGAGTTGGAATCGACTCAATGGCTTTGGCTCTGGTTCACACATGTTGCCCAGAATCTCAGTCACGGGCCATTGGGTGGCATGGTGCAAGACAAGAAAAGCACTCAGTGCTTATTAGTGCAAACTGATGGGCTTTCTTTTACGTCTTCCAGCAGAGAGGAGTTTTGTAGGTCAGTTCTACAGGGTGGGATTGATGAAGAAGGCTTATGTGAGAGAGAGCCAGGGTTTCTCCGAGGAGTTCTGACCTAAACATAGGAGCTAGCCTTGAAAAGATCTGGGAGCATCATATTCCAGTGGCATAGTTGGTCTTGCCAACCAAGTAATTTAAGATATGAATGTTGATTTATTTGAACAGACGAACATTCATTTACCAGATATTTAAAGAACACCTACTATGTGCTAGGGACTGTGGCAGGTGCTTAGATGATAAGCTGGAATGTTCTCTGTGAAAGGTGCTCCACTGCCTAACAGTCCCACCACCTTTTGCCCCCGCTGCCCCACACTCACTTCTACTACTCAGGTGGTGAGTCTGGGCTGAGGATCAGGGCAGGGCAGCCCAGCTTCCTCTTGAGACCTGCCTGTGCCCTGACATGCAGTGAAAGGGGCCTGCTCCCCAGATTGGCCTCTGGGTTTCCAGTGATGGACAGACCTCCCTGATTGTGGGGTTCAGAATTGGGAAGCTCATTTTCTGGACAAATAGAAGTCATATTCTTCATTATCAGCTGTTGTCACAGATTGAATTGTATCCCCCTCAAAATATGTGTGAACTTGGCTAGGCCATGATTCTCAGTGGTCTGGCAGTTATGTAATGACGTAATCATCCCCCATGACGTAATCTGATGTGATGATCAGCCTTGATCGGATGGAGGGGGATTAGGGTAGCACACAACACCCTTAATCAAGTCCCAGCCCTGATCTGATGTAAGGGAGTTTCCCTGGGGTGCAGCCTGCATCACCTTTTATCTTACAAGAGATAAAAGGAGAAAGAAGTGAGCAGAGAGAGAGGAACCTGACTACTTCCAAGGAAAGAGCCAAAAGTGGAGCATGGCCCTTGGATTCAGGGTCCCTGTGCTGGGAACCTCCTGGCACCAAGGGACACACAGAGAGAAAGCCTTTCCCTCAAGCGGACACTGAATTTGGACTTCTAGCCCCCTAAACTGAGAGAGAATAAATTTGTTGGTACAGCCATCCACTGTGGTGTCTGTCAGAGCAGCACAAGAGAACTAAGGCAGCTGTCAGCAGGGATAAGGTGTTACTTTAGTCGCCATCTTCTGACTGCTATCTTTCTCTTTTGGGGTGAGTTGCTCTCCCATCAGAGGACATTGGAGTGACGCATCTACAGCCAAGCGGTGTCACAGATGGCCAGGAATTGCCACAAGCTACTCGGCACATAACAACAACAACAAAGGAAGAGGCAAGGAGGGACTTTCCTCTAGAACCTTCAGGAACATGGCCCTGCCAGCACCCTGATTTCAGATTTCAAGCCTCCACATCTGTGAGACAATAAATACCTGTTGTTTTAAGCCACTCCTCAGAAGGAAGGTTGGGCCATCTACTTCCATAGTGATACTGCCTCGGAAACCCAAGGAGGAGTCGCAATGAGTTGGTCCCAACAAACGGTACATAGCAACAACAAACAACAGTTGGTGGTACTTTGTTCTAACAGCTCTAGGAAGAAAGCCTGGGGATCTTCCTTAACAATTACAGCCAAGGAAACCCCGCAGAGCTCAGTTCTACTGTGTAATTTACACTGTTGCCAGGAGTCAGATTTTGGTTTGTTTTACAAAAGTAAAACAAGCTTGCTAGAAAAACAGAAAACACCACAACACAGGCCAAAGTCCTTTTCCAGCTGACCCCCTGCCCCAGCCCACTCCCCAGAAGTAAGTCCTTTGACTTTGGGGCCTCCTGAGGCACTCTTTCAGCCTGTCTCCCTACAGACCTTTAATCTGGAGTCCTGAGGCTCAAACCTCCGTTCTTAACACCTGCACACCCCCTAGTGGGGAGTGCTTTGCATAATCCATGTGGGGACCAGGAGAGGACGGATGGGGGCAGGTGTGGCCTAAGGCCTCCTCTTCAAATTTTGATCCAGGCCTACTTCCACTAAGGAGCCTTGGTGGAGTAGCGGTTTAGCGTTTGGCTGCTAACCAAAAGGTTGGTGGTTCTAACCCATTAGCAGCTCCATGGGACCAAGATGTAGCAGTCTGCTTCTATAAAGGTTATAACCTCAGGAACCCCACAGGGCAGGTCTAACTTGTGCTCTAGAGCTGCTGAGTAGCAATCAACATGTCAGCAATACGTGGTTTGGTTTCTAGGCCACCAGACCTTTCTAACCCCAGGGCTGAAAGGGAACTAGAAACAATGCTCAAACCAAAACTCCATAGTCACTGACATCAAGTTCATTCCAACTCACAGCGACCCCCATTGGCTATCATTACCTAGAGGTAATAATAATAACCTCACAACAACATGCAAAGTGGGCATTGGACTAGACAGCGTTTCATTCTGTTCTACACAGAGTTGGAACCAACCAGATGGCAAGTAAGAACAGTAAACTGCAAAATGCAAATAACAAGAACATTCAGAGGCGTTCATATCAAAACCTCTTTAAAGACCTACCTGCAGCATGTGACGTGGCTGTTATGCTCTTCTTCCTGGCAGCACCCTCTTCATGTGGCTTCTGGTGTTACTGCTTCACTGGCTGCTCCTTCTGTTTTCTCTATTGGCATCTTGGCTCATCCCCCCCCACCTGCAATGTTCCAGAAACAGCAGCCAGAGTGGGCCCTCAGGGCCTTCCCACCTGAATTTCCACTGTAGGAACACACTTCCTCAAGGCTGGCCCCCTCACCTCAGGTTTTTGCCTGCGAGTCACTTTCTCATTGAGGCCTCTTCCTACCAGCTGATATAAAATTGCACCCCCTCCAACCCTCTATCTCCTCAATTTTCTCTGTAATTCTCACCACCAACTGTATGTATTCCTTGTTTAATGCTTATCTCCCCTGACTAGTAAATCAGCACCAGAATGGCAAAGGTTTATTCATCTTCACTGTTTGCTCTTTATTATCTTTCTTGTCTAGAACAGTGCCTGACACATAGTAGGCCCTCAACAAATGTTTGTTGGATGAATGGTCACTTTTCAACTTTGCATGTTTGCTTTTAAAAATATATTGGGAGTATTGCAAGGGGCCCCCAAGCTCTTTAAACCCGAGAATCTAAAGGATTTTTTGAAAAGAAGATTGGTATAGTTAACCTGACTACTGACATAAAGTCTAATGCTACGGCAGAACGGGCAAGCATTTAAGAAATATTTCTTGAATGAATGACTCCGGAGCCACAATACCAGTGTGTGGAGTATGAAGGGGTGCACCAAGTTGCTTGGGGTGCTAGACGGAGCATCTCCGGGGACTACCCTAACTCAGACATGGCCACTGTACTCACGCTGGTAAGTGAAAGCAAGACATGCAAATTGTTGTTGTTGTTGTTATGTGCCGTCGAGTCGCACCCGACTCATAGCGACCCCTCCTTGGGTTTCCAAGGCAGTATCACTACGGAAGTAGATTGCCCCATCTTCCTTCCGAGGAGTGGCCGGTGGGTTTGAACCGCCAGCCTTCTGGTTAGCAGTCAAATGCCTTAGCCACTATGCTACCAGAGCTCCTTAGCCACAGAAAAAAAGCCGCCATTTCAGGCAGGCCAAGTGTCCGACTGCGCAGCCGTCGAAGGAGCTGAGACGGGCCTAAGATGCCGCAAAAGGAAGTGGGCGGGTCTGCGCAGCCGCAGAAAGAGCTAGCAGCCCGGCGCTGCCTAGGTTAGGCGCAGTTTCGCGCCTGGCTTGAGGCCGCTGGACCGAGAAGGGTAGCTAGTTTGTTGTCCCTTTGCCCCTCACCAAGGCAGGGGAGGCCGGCTCCTCTGCTCCAGCTTTGGGCCGCCAGTTCTCCTCCCCTGGGCCTGCGTCATCATGCTGCTGCCCGTGTTCACTCTGAAACTGCGCCACAAAATCATCCCTGGCACGGTGGCCATAGGGCGCTACGACGGGATCCACCCGTGCCTGGCGGCTGCCACTCAAGCGGACAAGGTAACCGCTTTCACCGCGCGGAGCCCAGGCCTCCGAGGGCCCACTACCAACGCGGGCTCGCCCCTGGGATCTCTCCCCTGAGATCCCGCCCCCAGCCATGGTTGCCAGGCGACCAGTTGTCACCTTGTAGCTCTCCATGCTGCGGAGAATAATAAGGTCTGACGAACGGTTTTTCCGAGTAGTTAACTGTTTCTGATTGTCAGGCGCTTAGACTTGCACAGGTTTGGAGTCTTTCTACAGATAGAGAAACTGAGGCCGGAGAAGGAAAGGAGGTTGGTCGGGAGTAGCAGTAGTCGCAGAGCCTGGAATTGAGCCCGTGACCTCCTTCGGTCACTCGGGAACTTTCCCCACTGTCTCACACTGCCTCTCCAGCTAAATGGTTTTCCAGAAAAATAAATCAATACAAAGCTTTAAATCAAATGACTGTGATTACAGGCATGACCTTTAAACATGTGCGTCTGGGTCTTTCCCCATCATTTGTTCACTAAGCATCAGGTGTTTACTATGGGCCAGGCACTGTGCAAGGTGTGGAAGTCACAAAGATGAAAAATGACAGGTCATTTAACATTCTCTAGGCTTTTACTGTGTAAAGTATTACACAAATGAGAACTAACTTCTGGTAGCGCAGTGCCTAAGGCATTTGACTGCTAACCAGAAGGCTTGCGGTTCAAACCCGCCAGCCATTCCTCGAAAGGAAGGTTGGGCAATCTACTTCCTTAGTGATACCACCTCGGAAACCCAAGGAGCGGTCACTATGAGTCGGGTCCGACTCGATGGCACATAACAACATGACCTGTATTCAGGAGCTACACATCTTTTTTTTTTTTTTTTTTTAATGTTTCTAGTCATTTAAAATAATAATAATAATAACAAAATAAGGTACCTTGTTTAAATAATAATTTAAAATTAAATCTGCTTGTTTTTATACCAAAGGAATGAAATACTCATTTAAAGTTACTGAATTCTAGAACTAGAAAGGGTTTCTACTGTTTCCCAACTTTTTCTTTTTTTTTTCCTATCACCCTTCTATGAAGATTTTTTTAGACAATGAAGATGTCCCCGGTGAAACCTTAATACCACAGATACGTTGTATGTCTGTTTTTGCTGTGGCCCTTTGGAGACCACAAACCTTTCTCATATCTCAGATTTCACCTGAGCCCGGGTTTTCCCCCCTTGGGAACGATACTGCCCTTCTTGAGGTGCATGTTCTAGTCCAGGTCTTTTTTACAGATGGAGCCCAAGGAAGTCGCATGATTGTTGCAGACACTGAGGTGATTATATTTATGATAGCTGAAGCTGCTGAATTACCGTATTTTGCAAACCACACTACCCCCTCAAGCTTAGTTTTCTATGCACACTATGGGTGTTATATGCACGTGTGTTAGTTACGTGGTCATGTTATATGCTAAAAGTGCAGTAATTATCTTTGGGCTTATTATTAATTTCTCTGTTTTACTCAGACAACTTATGAAAGGCTTCAAGAAGCTTGATCTGTATGACTCAGTTTATATTTGTAAAACAGATTTACCAAATACTAGAGTTTTCTAAGGAGCTCTGGTAGCGTAGTGCCTAAAGCACTTGACTGCTAATCAGAAGGCTGGAGGTTCAAATCCACCAGCCACTCCTTGGAAGGAAGATGGGACAATCTACTTCCGTAGTGATACTGCCTTGGAAACCCAAGGAGTGGTCGCTAAGAGTCAGGTCCAACTCGATGGCACAAAACAACAACAACAGAGTTTTTTAGGGAGCTCTGGTGGTGTAGTGCCTAAGGCATTTGACTGCTAACCAGAAGGGTGGCAGTTCAAACCCACCAACCGCTCCTTGGAAGGAAGACTGGGCAATCTACTTCCGTAAAGATACTGCCTTGGAAACCCAAAGAGGGGTCGCTATTAGTCGAAATCGACTTGACGGCAGTGAGTTTGGTTTTTTTTTTTGGAGAGTTTTTTAAGGGTTAAGAAGTGAATTTATTAGGTGCTTGGAGGAAAGATACTAAAGGAAATGTTTACTGGTCTGTGTTCTGTGATCTTGGTGTATGGTGATCACATTGTAGCTGGTAGCAGCTTCCTACAGGTAGATCAGAAGATGTTTTGTAAGAGTGCTTTGATGTCTTGCTGGTGAATAGCATGGAAGAGCCCTGATAAGTAGCAACTAGATTTTGTTTAGGAGTTCCTGGGTGGTGCAGATGGTTGTGCTTGACAGTTAACAAAAAGGTTGGCAGTTTGCACTCAGCCAGAGGTGCCTTGGAAGGAAGTCCTGGTGACCTGCCTCTGAAAGGTCACAGCCTTGCTACCCTGTGGGGCAGTTCTGCTTGGCGCACGGGGTCATCGTGAGTTCGAATTGACTGCATGGCACCTAACAGCAACAACAGGTCTTTTGCATTGCCTTTTTCTTTGTAAGGCTAAGAACCACTGGATAGCCACAGTTCATAATTCATGAAAACGAGTCATGCACCGAACTGTGTATGAGAGTTTTAAGCCTTGTAGGCGATTAAAGTGACTTCTTGTTAACATTGATGTCTGTTATTAACCTGGTCCTTTAAAAAAAAGTCTGATGTTAATTTTACACTTTTGGTATTTTAGGGGCATGTATTTAAGTGGTTTTGTTTTAGGTTTTTATTCACAACCCTCATGCACGGAGCCAGCATCTGAGTGCCTCCAGAGCCATCCAGAGCCCTCTAGAGTCAGATGTTTCGCTTCTCAACATTAACCATGCAATCAGCTGCCTGACTGCAGGAGTTCTGAACCCTCAGCTTGGCTATGATGCCCTTTTAGTGGGGACACAGACTAATCTTTTGGCTTACGATGTTTACAATAATTCAGACTTGTTCTACAGAGAGGTAAGTATACCCCAGTATAACCGTAAAATGCCTAGTATCCATTAGTGTCCATTGATTTTTTATATTTTATGCTTAAAAGAGATCAGCCATTTCTTTTGGTGTGTTTATGTTGTGGCTGTTGTAATGTAGTTAAACAACATGGGGATTTTGCCATTTATATCTATTTTGTATCATTGGAACTTATTTATTTTGTCATACTCAGTTACCACTTGGGAGCTACCAGGTATGACAAAATAAGTAAGTTCCAAGTATATAACTTGGTAACAGCTTGTCTCTCATGAGGTATAGCCATGATACCACCGTTTGTCAAGACATTCTATTGAGAGTGCAGCCAAGAGTCAGGAAGCCAGCAAACAGGTCTCCTGGTAGCCTTGCATCAGGGTTTAGTACAATAGTTGATAGAAGACCTAATGGCAACCTGCCATTTATAGGCTGCTGGAAATTTAATACCCCAGTAAGCCACATTTATTATAAAAAAGATAGGGAAGCACAAATAGACAAAAAAAAAAAAAATTACTCATACTTTCTTTGTATAGAAATAATACTATTAAAACTTTTGAATTTATTTATCCAAAAGGAAATTAAATTATGGTTATGTGCTTTAATAAGGAAGTTTGGGACATTTATCGATTCTAGATGGTGGGGATAAGGGTTTTGTTTTACTATGCTTTGTACTTTTTGATAACTTTACATTCAAAACAAGTAGTAGTAAGAGAACTGGGGAATAAGTATCAGAAACATTTCTATCTAAGATAGTTAAAATCAATTACAGAGTTTGAGTACTTAAAGGCATAAAGCCTCGATGCTCTGGAAATTTTGACCTCTAGAACCTGGAGGTCCTAGAGAGCCCCAGATTATTATAGTAGGTTTGTGTGAGAAGCTAAGGGCCTGAGTTCATTCTGCATCTGCACTTGTCCTGGCATCAACCACAGGGACTGTCCTCAGGGACAGCCCTGGCCAGCCTTGCAGGTGACCATGTGGCTCCTCTCAGACGTGGCAGAGGAGTGGGAGTGTCCACATACGATGCAGGTCTGTGTTAGCTCTGCTGGGCAATCTACTTCCGTAGAGACACCCCCTCGGAAACCCAAGGAGGGGTTGCTGCGAGTAGAATTGACTTGACGGCCGTGAGTTTGTTTGTTTTTGTTGCTTTTAGCTCTGCTGTGCCTGCACATCGTTCTCTCTGAGATCAGGGGTCTTCTTTTCTCTTCTTAGGTGGCGGATGGGGCCAATGCAGTTGTGTTGGGAACACTGGGAGACATTTCCCCTCCTCTTGCGATTATCGGTGGAAATTGCGCTCTGCAGGGTTTTGATCATGAAGGAAATGATCTCTTTTGGACGGTATGAAGAATAAAACATTTTCTTTGGTTCTCTGAATACTTTAACTTTGAATGTTCTTTAGTTATTTTTATTTTTAACCATTGACTGTACTGCATAATAAATATTTATAATTCAATTCTGTACATCAAAAAAAGATAAGAGTAATTTGAATACCACCTGCTGTGGTTTGTATAATCCTATCATACAACCAAAACCAAACCAAACTCACTGCCGTCGAGTCGGATCCGACTCATAGTGACCCCTCCTTGCGTTTCCAAGGCGCTATCCCTAAGGAAGTAGATTGCCTAACCTTCCTTCTGGGGAGTGATAGGTAATACAAATGGATTAAGTGAAATGAGATGGCATTAATGATTTTGGGTTTTATTTTCAGGTTACTGGAGATAATGTTCATTCTTTGGCCTTGTGTGATTTTGACGGTGATGGGAAGAAAGAGGTATGTGGAGGAGGACATACTTCCTGTGTGTTCAGCTGAATAATTTTTCTGTGACAGTGATGCTAATGTTGAGAGAAATGTTAGCTTCTCGTGATTTTGGTGCTCTGTCCCCTGAGTGATGAACTAACTGGCTTCATTTGTCTTTTTTTTTTCTCTTGAGCTGTGTTTGTTCAATGCAAAGATCCAAGGCCACGATGATTCTAAGACCCAAATGGGGAGAGCAGAACAGTTAATGGGGCCTCAGTCAGTCATAGTCTTGTAATTTGCTTCTGATATTGCAAAACCATATCAGTAAGTGGTTTTCAGTTTGGCCAACTTCTGCAGGAATATAAAAGGTTTAAAGATTAGCTCTTCACATTTGAAATGATTCTAATAGTTGCTCTAGGAATGAACTTGTTGAGCAGCCAGTCATTGTGAACTGTTGTGTTGAGCACTTACTTACTGCTGTCTTATTCTTGGATACTGTTGTTAGGTGCCTTTGAGTCAATTTCAACTCATAATAGAGACCCTACGTGGCAGAGTAGAACCACACCATAGGGTTCTCCGGGCTGTGCTCTTTACAGGAGCCGATTGCCAGGTCTCTCTCCTGCAGAGCTGCTAAGTGAGTTTGAAATGCTAACCTTTTGGTTAGCAGCCAAGCACTTAAGCATTGTGTCATCAGAACAACTCTCACGGATACTGGGCTCTGGCATTTGAAGCAGGAATTCCATCTGTAAGCAGGGAAAGGTGCTGAACCAGGGAGTATTTCCAGATGCTTGGTGGAAGAATGGGACATGCAACTACATGGCAGGGTAAAATCTGTAGCAGCTACTTTTCTTTCATTGACTGCCTCTGTTGACCTTCCCTTTGGAGGGAGCCTTCCTGAGCACTGGATGAGTGGGGAGTTGGAATTTTTGAGTGAGAGTAGCAGCATACAAAGTACTGTACTTTTTTGTTTTATTTCTTGAAATTTTGCTGTGTTCATTTACTAAACTGACTATGCATGATGTCCCTTCAGCTTCTTGTTGGATCTGAGGATTTTGATATCAGAGTTTTTAAAGAAGATGAGATTGTGGCAGAAATGACAGAGACAGAGGTAAGAAATGCTACCTCAGATTCTGCTACCTTTGGGTAAGATAGATTAGCAGAGTCAGATGTAACAGCAAGTGAGAGTGCCGGGTCATCTCACAGTCCAGGTCGTTTTAGGATGAAGTAACGGTAGTGATTAAACAGAGCTGCGGTAAACATGGTGTGGCTGAGGCATCTGACCTCTAACTTCATGACGGAGAAAGAATCACCACCAGCATGAGCCCAAAGCTTATTCCTATGACGTGGAGGTCAGACATGCCTCCACTCTCCAATCTTTTTATTCCAGCCATCCCTCCCACGCCACTCTCTGCTTCTTTGCTGAATCTGATAATTCCTTGCAGTGGCCACACAGAACTCAAAACACTGTGATTATGGGGCCTGTTAGCACAGTAGCAGGTTACCGGTTCAGGATCAGAAACAACTCAGGATACAGCTCTTCGGTCAGGACAGCCTCTTCTCAGCTGTGCTCAGTGTTCCCTGGCCCTTGGCCCCGGCCCCTTGGGCCTCTTGGATCCCTTGGCTCAGCCTCTGCCCTGTGCAGGCAAGTGTTACAAAGCACTTTGTCTCTGATGGTAAGTGCTCAGAGACACCCCACTCTGTCAGTAAGCCTTGGCCTGCAGGCACTCGGCTCTCTTGCTCCACGGATTGGTGAACCTAGATCCACTGTGTGTCCAGAGGCCTCCCACTCTGCCAGAAAATCTGCATGAAGGCGCTCAGCTCTGTCGCTCCGTGAGCTTAAACGCCTGCTGCGCCATCTCCTGCCAGTCTTCTGGTTCTGCTGCCTCTGCTGCATTGTTTCTCTGCCACTGCTTCTCACTGCTCTTGCCACCTCTGGTGTTACAGCTCTCTGTCTCATGGGTCTTGGAGGTTCCCAGAACTGGGACCCCAGATCCAAAGGATATGCTCTGCTCCCATCTCCATAGTAGTAGTCATGGCTCACCCTTCCCACCTCTGGGAGGGCTCATTTTAAACCTAGGAGGATGGCAAAACTGACCAGTCCCTTTGTTACGGTTCCATACACCTTATTTGCATGGTCCCACCCTCACCAGGGTGTGATGCACCTTATTTGCATTATCAGCAAATTGTTCCATCTGCTTGGTGGGGTATGAGCACCTTATTTGTGTAGTCCCACCTAGTCTTTTGGTGGGAGTTATAAGACCATTCATTGCTAGAAAGGCCTTATAAAAGTAATTCCTTACATCACAGCTGCAAATGACAGAGAAGCGTTTAAAAAAAGTATATGAAGGTATATTTTGAAAAGACTGATTAAACAGAAAAATTATTGACTGTAATTGAACATATAAAGGTCTATCCTTTAATGAGTTAATACACATAAATATTAGTGATAATAATGGCAACTATTTATTGTGCACCTAATATGCGCCAGGCACTGTTCTAAGTGCTTTACGTCAGTGCTAACTAACTCACTTAATCTTTACAATGCCATATTCACTCATTGCCACTGAGATGATCCTGACTTATAGCAAGCCCCATCAGGTTTCCAAGGCTGTAAATCTTTACAGAAGTAGACTGCCTCATTTTCCTTCTGTAGAGTGGCTGGTGAAACTAACTGAAGCACCAGGATGTTAAGTGACTTGCCCAAGGTCACATAGCTATTAAGTGGTATGAACCTTTGTGCCTTCTCCTCCCTCTCATTCCTGTGTATTAAATGGGACTGAAGTGCATCAATGAGATTTTATACATTTTCCTCTTCATTTAAATTAAAATACTTGTGCACATTTTAGTAGGTAAACTTAAAATTAGGTATTAGAGAACTTGCTAGGTTTTTGTGATTAAAATCAGTCATGTAATTGAACATGAGTTTAAACTTTTTTAAGCATTATGTAAGGATAGTCTTTATTTTGGCATTCTTAGGATATTTGCTGCTAGTTTTCAGGGGTTTGACTGGAAAAGAACAGAATTAGCATATTCTGTGCTGAAGATGGAGAAGAGGGGACAGGAGCAATGACCTGCAAACACTGTAAATGCAGAGAAACAAACCATCAGATGGGGCCTTAGAGATCAGCATGGGGAGAGATGGGAACCTTGGTCAGGGGCTGCGTGGGAGTCTGTGAGAAAGCCAGAGGTTGGCTCCTGTACTTCGGCCATGTTGTCAGAAGGTACCAGTCCTGGAGAAGGATGGCACACTTGGTAAAGGAGAGGGTCGGTGAGAAAAGGAAGCCCTCAATGCGACGGACGACACAGTGGCTACAACGGTGGGCTCAAGCACAGCAGCGATTGTGAGGCTTGTGCAGGAGCGGGCAGCGTGGTGCTCTGTTGGACACTGTTGTCGTCATGTGCCACCGAGTCAGCCCTGACTCATAGTGACCCCACCTTGGGGTTCCGAGGCGGTATCACTACGCAAGTAGATTGCCCAACCTTCCTTCCGAGGAGTGGCTGGTGCATGGGGTCACTGTGAGTTGGAGCTGACTTGACGGCCCCTAGCGACCACCACCACAGCAGCATGAAAAAGCTTGAAGGCACTGGCTTCAAGCTTGACCACTCCTCCTTAAGTTGCTTGTTTCTGCCAATTCTTTGCACAAGTTTTCTAGGAAGATCAGACTTCTGTTACCTTAACGTTTGTAAAAGGAGACCAAAAAGGCAAAATACTGTGTTGATACATAAAGTGTTACCAGTGATTTTAACTATGCCTTTATCGTATAGTGAGCGTCATAGTTTTCACTATAGTGAGCGTCATAGTTTTCACTATAGTGAGCGTCATAGTTTTCACATAGCCGTGCTACATTTGTTACATATTCACAGTTACTATAGTTATAAAATGATGGTTGTGGATAGAGATGAAAAGGAAAAACGAGTGTGAAAACATCAGTCTGAAGGTATGTGTCTGTACAGGGGCTTCTGTTTCTTGTGTAGGTACTTATGTATGCTTTTCTGGAGAGAGGGTCCTTAGCTTTCATTAGATTCTTTTTTTTTTTTTTTATTATTAGGATTTGGGTGAAGATTTACAGAGTAAATTCACTTTTCATACAGCAGTTCACATATACTTTGTCTCATGTCATTGACCAAAATTTACAATGCAACAGCTCCCCTCCCACTTCCTCCCCATAGTTACCTCCTCCCAGTGTCCATCCCTTCATACTCTTCGAGAGGCCCATTGTCTGCCAACCCTGTATATGATCTTGGATACACTCTCCATTTAGACATACATAATTGTTTAGCTTGTTCACCCATCTATCCGTCCCTATACCCATATTTGCTTTCATTAACAACTCAGTATTGTATTTACAAAGGGGTTCATATTTGTTGTTTGTACTGCCCATGTAACTCTCTCTGTCTTTCTCATCCTCAATGCTGCCATATTGGTCACTCACATTTGGTACATTGCCCTTCTCTTCACCCAAATCAATATTTATCTCTATCTATCTAACAGCATTCCCTCCCCTTCCCTCCCACCCCTGGTAACCAACAAAGAAAATGTCCTCCAATATATAAACATTTCCTTAACTTTTACAATAACGGACTAATACAATATTTGTCCTTTTGTGACTGACTTATTTCGCTCAGCATAATGTCCTCCAAGTTCATCCACGTTATGCGGTGTTCTGCAGATTCTACATTATTCTTTAGCGTTGCATAGTATTCCATTGTGTGAACGTACCAAAGTTTGGTTATCCATTCCTCAGTTGTTGGACATCTAGGTTGTTTCCAAGTTTTGGCTATTGTAAATAGTGCTGCGATGAACATCGGCGTGCATATATCTGTTCTCGTTATGGCTCTCACTTCTTTAGAGTATATACCTAGTAATGGGATGGCTGGGTCAAATGGTATTTGTATTTCCAACTTTTGAAGGAATCGCCATACTGCTTTCCACAATGGTTGTACCATTTTACAGTCCCACCAGCAGTGTATGAGAGTCCCAATCTCTCCACAACCTCGCCAGCATTTGTTATTTTCTGTCTTGTTGAACTTTGCTACTAGTGCTGGAGCAAGATGGTATCTCATTGTTGTTTTGATTTGCATCTCTCTAATAGCTAATGATCGTGAGCATTTCTTCATATGTTTGTTGGCCGCTTGAATATCCTCCTTGGTGAAGTGTCTGTTCATGTCTTCTGCCCATTTTTTAATTGGATTGTTTGTCTTTTTGTTATTGAGGTGTTGGAGTGTTCTATAAATTCTAGAGATAAGTCCCTTGTCAGATATGTTATTACCAAATATTTTTTCCCAATCTGTAGGTTCTCTTTTGACTCTTTTGGAGAAGTCTTTGGAAGCACATAAACATTTAATTTTTAGAAGGTCCCAATCATCTGGCTTCTCTTCTGCTGTTGGTGCATTTTGAATTATGCTTGGTAGTCTATTTATACCAAATATTAGGGCCCTTAAGTTTGAGCCTAAATTTTCCTTGAGAAACTGTATAGTTCTAGGTTTCACATTTAAGTCTTTGATCCATCTGGAGTTTGTTTTTGTGTGTGGTGTGAGGTACATATCTTGTTTCATTTTTCTGCAAATGGATCTCCAGTTTTGCCAGCACCATTTATTAAACAAACATTCTCTTCCCCACTTAATGGATTTGGGGCCTTTGTCAAAGATCAGCTGACTATAGGTTGATGGATCTATACCTGGGTTCTCAATTCTATTCCATTGGTCTATGTATCTGTCATTGAACCAATACCAGGCAGTTTTGACTATTGTGGCTGTATAGTAGGTTTTGAGATCCTTAGCTTTCATTAGATTCTTAAAGGGGTTTGTTGCTCAGAAAAGCTTCGAGAATCACCAGCCGTTTGTTGGTGTGGCCTGTGTTGTCATGTCCTCTTCATTCCAGTTTGCTGTAGCTCTTTCTCCCATTTGGTGGGAATGATTTAGGTTTTGTGAGTTTCTGTTTACTGTCCGTACTTGATGTGCCTTCTTTGAAGCATCTTTTCTCCCAGAGAAAGGCAGAGGAACATGTGACAGCATTAGGGATGCGAGGAGACTGTTGGTCCTCTGACGTCCCTGGGTAGCACAGATAGTACGTGTTTGACTTCTACTCAAAGGTTGGACGTTTGACTCTACCGAGAGGCCCCTTGGAAGAAAGGCCTGGTCATCTGCTTCTGAACGGGCGTAGCCCTGAATGCCCTGTGGAACAGAGCTCTGCTCTGAGGCGTGGGGTTGCCTTGAGTTGGAATCACCACCTGTTGGTGGTGGTGGTTGATCCTCTAGTGCACAGAGGAGACAGACTACAAAAAAAAAAAAAAAACCTCACTGCTCTGGAGCTCTGGAGTTGGATCCAAAAGAAACTATAGATAGTGCTAATTTAGGACAAGGTTCCTTTCCTGTGACCGTGTTGTAAGTTGGTTCTACCGTAAGTTGAATACATTTTTTCTTTGTTTACAGTTTTCATTATTATTGCCTTTTATTTTTACTGTTTGTTGTAACTGGAATATGTTGTTGAGGACTGTCTGTAATGAACTGTTGAGATACTGAGTGATTTAGGAATCTGGGGCTAACCTTAGAAAAACGGGGAATTTATACAGTTGTCCATTTGTGGGGCCATTTTCCTGTCCTCTCGGTTCAGTTTTGCTCCCGGCTCAAATGCCTTTTCCCAGATCAGCACAATCGGAATTCATTCGATATGTGACTGCTACTAAATATTGCCAAAAGAATGCCTTGAACTGAATAATTCTAGAATCCTACACAGCACTTTGTATTCAGAGTTAAGTAAAGTGGGTGGTTTTGTAGAAAAGCTGTAGGTGTAAAGGAAATTGCATAACTATTCTCTCCTTTATACAATTTATCTCTGAATGCCTCTTACATTAGATTCAGAATTAGCAAGTAGATCTGCAGGATCATAGATAGCATTAAGCTTTTAACATTAAAGGATAATTTTGTTCATTATCTACAGTTTTTTCTTTCTATTAAATTCCTTGAACAATCTTATAAATATTTCTGTATAATATGTGTATTCTGTCTGTTGTTACATACATATACAGAGTGGGTTTTCACTTTTCAGAGGATTGCATTTTCTTCCAAAAAAGTCTTCACTTTTGACAAATAATAGATTACATCACAGAAAAATATATATATACATATATATATAACAGATATTCAGCTGTGGATTGTTACAAGTCTTATTTTTAAGAATTAGACCATAGGGCATTATAAATTAAGGAAAAACTGGAATAACTGCTAAAACATTTTGGGTGTGTTTATAACAACTGCTGTACATATTTTGTACAGTTTTGTTGTCAGCTGGAATTTCCTCCCTAATTCCTCAGTTTTACTTATTTATTTATAATTTGATGAAATTTGCCACTTACGCTTCATCTAAAGCACCAAATGTTGTGAGTTAGTTTAAATCTGATTATCCGACTCTGAAGTAGATGACATAGATCAGATTGAAAAGGAATATATTTCCCACTAATGGATTAGAAGTGCATTTAAGTCTATCTTAACACACATGTAGCAAAGCATGCTGAGCAAACAAACTGAGAAGTTGGACTGTACGAAGAAGAATGCAGCATCAGGATTGGAGGAAGACTCATTAACAACCTACAGTGTACAGATGGCATAACCTTGCTTGCTGAGAGTGAAGATGACTTGAAGCACTTACTGATAAAGATCAAAGACTACAGCTTTCAGTATGGATTGCATTTCAACATAAAGAAAACAAAAATCCTCACAACTGGACCAGTAAACAACATCATGATAAATGGAGAAAAGATTGACGTTTTTCTGGGATTTCATTTTACTTGGATCCACAAAAAATGCCCATGAAAGCAGCAGTCAAAAAATCAGATGATGTATTGCACTGGGCAGACCTGGTGCAAAAGTCTTCTTTAAAGTTTTAAAGAGAAAATATGTCACTTTGAAGACTAAGATGTGCCTGACCAAGCCATGTGAAAGCTGGACAACGAATAAGGAAGACTAAACAAGAACCGATGCATTTGAATTGTGGGGTTGGTGAAGAATATTGAAAATACTGACAGAAGAACAAACTAATCTGTTTTGGAAGAAGTACAGCTGGAATGTTCTCAGGAGTGAAGATGGCCAGACTTCACCTTACCTACTTTGGTCATGTGGTCAGAAAGGACCAGCCTCTGGAGAAGAATATCTTGCTTTTGGTAAAGTAGAGGGTCAGTGAAAAAGGGGCAGAACCCTCAATGAAATGGATTGACACAGTGATTGCAGTGATGGACTCAAGCAAAGCAAAGATTGTGAGGATGGTGTGGGACTAGGCAGTGTTTTGTTCTTTTGTACACAGGGTTACTGTGTTGGAACTGCCTCAACAACACCTAGCAACAACAGCAGAGGATGCAATTTTATTAAGCTGTACTTTGCATTAAATTGAGTCTTAATGAAAAGATATTATATTTTTGCATATTCTTTTTACAGATAATTACCTCTCTGTGTTCCATGTATGGCAGTCGATTTGGTTACGCCCTTTCCAATGGCACAGTTGGAGTTTATGACAAAACGGCCCGATACTGGAGAATCAAAGTTAGTATAATTCAGCCTCTGATATTCATAGATTTTATGCTTAATGAGTGTGCTAATTATTGGAATTCTTTTTCAGTCTAAAAATCACGCCATGAGCATTCATGCTTTTGATCTGAATTCTGATGGAGTACCCGAACTGATAACTGGTTGGTCCAATGGGAAGGTACGTTTAAGTAGCAGAGAAGAGGCAGAATTCAAAGTAACAATACCTGACATGGTTGTATGAATCAGAACAGTAACATGAAAATCTCTCTCTCCTGAGAAGCAGAATTGACTTCACAATCTTTCCACTTTTTGTCTTGTAGCTATAGTTGTCATACACTACAGAGTAAGTGGCTGTCTTCTTGGTCTTGTAATTCCTGTTTGGAAGAAAATCTCCAGGAAGATTCTTTCTATATTTTTTCCTTGAATGAAGCAAAATCCATCTAACCAGGTTGATTCTAGGTGTAGGCCAGTTTTTTTAAAAAAAGGATATTAATAACCTAAGCATTAACTCTTTGAATTACACTTCAAGGCACTCTGGTCACGCACGGACTGCTACCCAGAAGGCTGGCGGTTCAAACCCCCCAGGCACTTCTCAGAAGGGAGGTTGGTCAATATACTTCCGTAGTGATACTGCCTTGGAAACCCAAGGAGGGGTCGCTATGAGTCAGTTCTGACTCGAGGGCACATAACAACAACAACAACAACAACGGTAAATCTTCAAAACTGATTGAAAACTTAGAATTAATGGGAAGAGTGAGGTTAGCGTATCGTTTTCCCAGGTATAACTTTAAAATATTTTTTCTTTTTTTTTTAACTTTAAATCAGAATTTTCTGACGTCTTTTGCATAGTCAGGATTGCCTTGTTAGGAACTGCCTCCGGTAGCCAGCAGATGGGCCTGGAGACTGTCTGCCAGAGCTCTCTGTCTGTTAGTGCTGGAGTGCCTGAAGCAGACCAGCCGATCCCTCTTTTCTATTCTTTCATTTTCCTTTATTTCTGGCCGGTACCTTATAGCCTTCGTTAGGTGTTGAATGAAGTGCACATTCTAAACAGTTACCTTGTTTCTTGCTTCTGCCCTTGGTTTTGTCTTTGGTATGGGCACTGAAATGTATTAAGATTGGATAAGAGATCTGAAACTCCATAAAATGGACCATTTTCTGAGGAAATACAAATTATTATGATTGAGTCAAGAATTTTAAAACTATTAGTCTGATAGCAAGGAAACAAATTGAGAAAGTGATCTGAGTTAGCTTCAGATATGATTCTGGCGGTTAAATGTTTTGTTAGGACTTTATTATATAAGCTGTTCCAGAGCATAAAAAATAGAAGAAGATTACACTGTTGATTATATAAGTGGAAAAGCTGGTAACAGAAATAGTAGAGAAGAGGAAGACCTACAGATCTAGTGTGTGAATGTAGGTGCAGAAGCACAAAAGATATACTAGCAAATTAACTTTGTCTTTAGTAGGTTATTTGTTGAGTTGGAGTGCCATCCTTTCTCCTAGGGCAAAATCTCCAAATTACAGCACAGAAGCAGAATGTCCACTGTGTTAGGCTGGGTTCTCCAGAGAAGCAAAACCAGTAAAGCTTATATACACACATAGAGAAAAAGAAATTTATCTTAGGAAAATGGCTCACCCACATAGAAGCTGGCAAGTCCCAAGTTCTTGGATCAAACGTCAAGCTGGAGGCTTTTCCCTATTCACAGCTGCAGGGGCTGAGGAGCTCAAGGCTGACAGGCAGTATACTGGCTGTTGACTCCAACGAATGACGAATCCAAGATCTCCAGGCTGAATGGTAGATTGTTCCCTCACGAATAGTTGTACGCAGCATAACAGGATCCCGATCCACAGAAATATGTCTCTTTTCCTAGGATGTCCATAAAAATATTGGAAGCAGGCTACACCCCTAGGGAAACTCTCTTTCAGTGGATTGGCTGCTCAAAACATATACATCTGATCCCATCATGGGAATAACCACATCACAACTGCTTAAACCACACAAAATTGTGGTCCAGCCAAGTTGACACACAGCTCCAACTATCACGTCCACATTCATTGGGAATCCTGCTTCTTAGTTAGCAATGGAGCCCTCTGTTGGCTAAATAATGTAGAATCGCAGGCAGAGGCTGATAGCAGCTAGGCTTTACCTAGAAGGAAGCAGGCTTAGTGTGAGTCAGAGGGGTGATTAATGTGCTAAAAGCTTTGGCAAAATACAGGTCATTGATGCCATAACAGGCTTCAGCATCTGTGATTTTCAGACTTAGATGATGGTGTTCCTAATAGCGGGGGTACTTGAGAGTGATGTCTTCCAGACACAGGGCAGGGGTGGTAGTAGGACGCAGTCTGAACTGTTTTTTGTTGCAGAGTTTTGCCCAGGAGGATTTTTATGAAAAGACAAAAATGGTGACCGGCATTGGTCACTGAAATGGTGGTTGTACCAGATTCTTTGCAGCTAAGCTCCTACTGATAATCCCTGTGTTCTTTCCCAGAACAAAATCCTCATTTTAATTGATTATCCCCTAGCATTGTTTTAGAGATGCTCTTGTTTCTGGTCAGTCAGTCAGTCACTTACCCAGTCTCTTGGGAACAGGAAACTCAAAGAGAATAGGAAAGCTCCTTAAGGTACCTGAATAGTTTTTATGTGGATGAGTGACTCTTAACAGGATTGTTAAGAAAGGTGGAATGGTGGAAGGTTGGGCTAATTTGACACAGTTCAAACTTTATATATAAATGTGATATTTTTATACGGAACTGTCATTTATCGTGCATCTTAATGTGCCAGGCATGGTCTAGTGCTTTATATGTCTAAACTCCTTCAGGCCTCATTGGAACTGGTAGGTGCTATTATCGTCCCTGTGTTCTTGTTACTGATCTGCAGAGGAGGAGACCAGGCACAGAATGGTTAAGAAACTTGCCCAAGACCCCCCGAGTAGTAAGTGGGCAGAGCTGGAATCTGGGCACTTTGGCTGGGGAGGCTGTGCTCCTTGGCATTACGCAGTCTGTGTTACATACGCTCTCTCACCAGACCGATTCCTTTAAATGAAACAATGAGTGGAAGGCCAGTATGTAGAACAGCTTATACTTACAAATAGAAGAAGAAAGGAAAGTTGCTTGAGGCAGCTGTGGTCTCTGTTGGTCCCGGTGTCATACGAACCTCCTGTAGAGCCTCAGGGTTTCATGAGCACTCTTGAAAAGTGCTAAACTAAATGACTTTTAAAGCTGATTTTAACTTTAAGTTGTGTAGTTTTTTAAAAAAACTGTAGCTTAAGGGATTTTTCAAGTCCTTGTTTTATTTTTAGGTCGATGCTCGAAGTGACCGAACCGGGGAGGTCATCTTTAAAGACAACTTTTCTTCTGCAATTGCTGGTGTGGTCGAGGGCGATTACCGGATGGATGGCCATGTACAGCTAATCTGCTGCTCAGTGGATGGAGAAGGTAAACTAGGTCAAAATGCCAGGGAACTCCACTAGAAGTGTTTGCATTGAGGTCTTCTAGTTCTAAAATATTCACCCAGCTTGGGGAGACAATAATTTAGGCTTTGGGTTTTTAAGAACATGTTGATGCCTATGCTCTAAGGTCTAGACAGTGACTTTTTCCTTCTCTTCAGTCCGGGGCTACCTGCCAGGCACATCTGAGATGCGGGGGAACCACATGGACACCACTGTAGAGCAGGACCTGATCCGAGAGCTCAGCCAGAAAAAACAGACTCTGTTGCTCGAACTCCGTAACTATGAGGAAAACACCAGGGTGGGTCCTAATATGAAGGGGAGATGGAGCTGGGTAGTTGAGAAATCCAGGAGGACTGGCAAACACAAAAGAAAGTGACCATGGCGGGGGGTGCCCTTTGGCACTGGTGGACATGCAGACTACATTGGCCTTTTTGCCAGTATCAAAAGAGGGATGCCCTAGGAATTCCCCTTGTAGGCATCTAAAGTATAGAAGTGTCTGCCTGAGTGTTTAGACCTTTACTGTGGCACTGTCTGTGGCAGTGATAACTTGGAAGAAACTTACATGCTTGTCAGCAGGAAGCATGGACTGGGGAATGGTAAGCAGCTCAAAACAACGGTGCATCTGCATTTGAGACTGACGTGGAAAGATGGCTGTAATACTATTAAGTGAAAAAAAAAAAGCAGGAAGAATATGTGTAGAGTATAAGTTATCTTTTTTTAAAAAACAAGTAATAGAAAATTAACAGCTACAAACACTATGTGTATTTATACCAAACTGTGGCTGGAGGATGAGTCTGGAGGGTGTACATTCCCAAATGCATTACTTTATTTGAATTTGCTATAACAGGGGAACAAGGCAAAAAAAAAGGGGGGGAGGGGGAGTTTTTTAAGAACAGTATTAAAAAAAATACGGAAAAGGAATGATGGCGGTCAGAGCACCATAAACCAGAGAGAAGGGCAAGGGTATTCTCCCCCAGGGCCAGGTAGGGCAAGGGATATTCTGAGGATATTCTAATGAGATGAGTTCTCTGAATTCTAAAAAAGCAGGTTGATAGAGTAGGATGATGGGGAGTCTTTCTCTTGAAGCTGAATAGCCATATTATTAAAGTTGGCCTTTGTTCAGCGTTTTGGTGGCCGAGTTGGAAGCAGAGTGGGGTGTTTTGCAGGCTGAATCGAACAGTCTGTTGAGTGAGGCTGATGGGCCTCGGGGCATCATCCCAGCCAACACCAAGCTCCACACCGCCCTCTCAGTCAGCCTGGGGAGTGAGACTCAAGCTGCGCATGTGGAATTGTGCGTTTCCACTTCCAATGGTAAGAACCCATTTCCAGCTGGCTCTGTGGGGCCCAGCCATCTCCGAGCAGTGCTTGAGTTGCTGTTTCCCCTTTTCCTGCAGACACCATCATCCGGGCAGTGCTGATTTTTGCGGAGGGGATTTTTGTAGGTGAAAGCCACGTGGTTCACCCCAGCATTCACCACCTCTCCAGCTCCATTTGCATCCCAATTACACCTCCCAAAGATGTCCCAGTGGATCTGCACTTGAAAGCCTTCGTGGGTTACAGAAGCAGGTGACCCTTTACCCGTCACAGCTGTTTCCAGGCAGCATTTAGAGGAGGCAAGATGTGTATTTTCCATTATGCCGTGGACTCTGGGGGCCAGAGAAGCCATGTCATGGTGCTACTCACCCAGTCAACGATGGGCTCAAGCAGAGCTAGGATTGCGAGGATGGCGTGGGGCCGGCAGTAGTTTGGTTTTGTTGTACACACGGTTACTACGAGTCAGAGCCCGCTTGCCGGCACCTACCAACAGCAGCTCACCCAGTCAAGGTTTCCCCTTAACCTTTTATTTCCCTAATTGGAAATCTTTCAAAAAGTAAAGGGTATGTACATTTTAGATGGCTATTTTCTGGTTTTAGTTAGACGATCTCATAGAAAGCTTTAAAAAATATATTTAATTGATGATTTGTCATTTCCAGTTTTGGCTTTAAGCCTACAGAGTAGGATGCACTTTTGTATCAGGGTCAGCTATAACACCAGTAGTGGGAAGAACAAAAAACAAACAGAAGACACTAGATTTGTGAAAGCTAGAAGCCTTTGCACATTTCTTTTATAGTTTTTGAAACCCATGGTGCATGAGTGTGTGTATGTATGTAGACCCGTACCATTTCTAGATCCCAAGCTTGATTATGGAAGTACTTTAATTCTCAAGTTTTAGGGGATTTTCTTCAGTGAAACCCTTAAATAGCAACTTTATGGCCCAGTAGTGATTTTATATTTATTTTCTGGGCCTTGAACTTTGAAATAACATTGTACACAAAATAATTGTCTTGTGTCCATTGGTTGGCCATAGCACCCAGTTTCACGTATTTGAATTGACAAGACAGCTCCCCCGGTTTTCCATGTATGCGCTGACCAGCCCAGACTCTGCCAGTGAGCCACTCAGTTATGTCAACTTTATCATTGCTGAACGGCTGCAGAGGGTGAGTACTGTGCTGTTTTTCTTTCATACTTTTGCACTTTAGAATCTTCTAGAAGGGGGATATTACATGAAAGTGTTATGTTGGTAGCAGTAAATAGGATATGAAAGAGCTATACGGCTTGGATTTGGTTTGTAACCTGTGCTACAAATACTGCTAAAGTAGCTTCCTTCCCTCTGAAAGAGCACAGACGTTATTTACCGGAGCAGTCCATGGTCAGAGGAGTTCTTACCAATTTTCAATTCCTCTCTCTTTTCGGCTAGGGATTTAGTGTGGCCATTCTGATGTAGTGTTTCATAAGGAACCTGTATCCAGATGGAAAGAGAGTGGGACTTGGAGCTACGGACTTTTTTTGGTTCAGGCGCTACCTCAGTCACTTGAATTCTTAGTGATCTTGGGGATTCCTCTTCACCAATTTGAGCCTCGATTTTCTTACTTGTAGGTGAGGATAGTATAACCCACCTCATAAGAGACCTTGAGGGTTACATGGTTAGTGTTAGTACTTTGTAAAGTTAAAGGACTGCCATACTTTTACATAACACACATTACATGGATTTTTGCAAATTGTTCAATTCCTTTGTGTGTTAGCCTTATAACCCACCTCATAAGAGGCCTTGAGGGTTACATGGTTAGTGTTAGTACTTTGTAAAGTTAAAAGACTGCCATACTTTTACATAACACACATTACATGGATTTTTGCAAATTGTTCAATTCCTTTGTGTGTTAGCCTCCTGTGTATGCTATATGTGTTATATGCGTGGGCATGTTACGTGCCTGGGCACATTATACACAAAAAATATGGTAATACTAGTGACTAAGGGAGCTCTGGTAGCATAGTGGCTAAGACACTTGCCTGCTAACCAGACGGCTGGCGGTTCAAACCCACCAGCCACTCCTCGGAAGGAAGGTTGGGCAATCCTACTTCCGTAGTGATACTGCCTCGGAAACCCAAGGAGGGGTCGCTATGAGTCGGGTTTGACTCGACGGCACATAACAACAACAACAACAGTGACTAAGCTTCAGAATCCTCAGTGATGCTTTTTAATCATGTATGTTCTCAGGTTCCTGACCTGTCTGTGGAACTGGTATTTATAGGTGGGCCCTGTCCAAAGGCCTTATGGTTGGTTCTTATATGCTGCAAACCACTGGAAAGCATTACTAACATTAAAACTTAGTGTGTGAATGTCTTGTATCTGTGGTGTGTGTCCACGGAGACTTCATTTAACATTTTTAAAGAAAAGAATGGTATTTTCAGTCAATGATATAGTCAAAGATACACCCACCAAGAGCAGCTGTCTGAACAGAATCCACATCAGATCTGAATTGTTAATATAATGCATCTAAGAGTAGTTCTAAGAAGAAAATGCTGTCATGTAATGCATATTGTGGGGCAGACATAATTTCAAATGTTACTTGAGAACTTGTATGAGGTGGGGAAAGAGTACCGTTAGGGTTTTTTTGGTGAGAGGTGGGGTATAATTATTTTTTGTTATTCACCAAGCAGTAAAACTAGAAAGAAGGGTAACTGTTCTTCTCAAGAATAACTGTACTTTAAACACGGAGGTTCATTTCATTGTATTCATTTGAAGGTTGTAATATGGCTCAGCCAGAACTTCCTGTTACCGGAGGACACTCACATTCAGAATGCTCCATTTCAAGTGTGTTTCACGTCCTTACGGAATGGTGGCCAGCTGTGTATAAAGATGAAACCTAGTGGGGAGGTAATGTCACCGTCACCTGTTTGTTGGGTGCCTTAGTTAGTTCTGACCAACAGGGCACAGATGTCTCATATAATCTTTACCATTCGGGCCAAATGGAGCCTGGGAACGCCAGTCGAGCATCTGGGAGCAGGAGTCTCAAGGTCATAAATGACAAGTTCCAACTGAGTCATTGGCTCAGACTCTGGGGAATCATCGAGACCAGAGCTTTCCTCCCTGTCTCTCCTTCCCTCTGAGCCTGCTTCTCTAATTTAGAAAAGGTTGGGAATTCAGAGGTGGAAAAACAACTTCATTGTTTGAATGCTTTTCTCTTTAGTTTATAAGGCTGGAGGAGCCATCTTTTACTCCTGGAAATAAGGGATGTGCTTTGTAGTATCCTTGAGGGCTGGCCCCTGTCTTACTCATCCCTGCATATGAATGTATGCTCAGTAAAGGTATTGGATGTGGGGAGGTTCAGGTACTATTTCAGATTAATCTGTTCACTGTCTGAGGATGCTAAACTTGCCTGTTTTTTTTCTCCTGATAGATCACTGTAAATACTGATGACATTGATTTGGCTGGTGATATCATTCAGTCGATGGCATCATTTTTGGTTATTGAAGACCTTCAGGTAGAAGCGGATTTCCCTGCTTACTTCGAGGAATTACGGAAGGTGCTGGTCAAGGTGAGGGACACAGAGAATGTGGTAGTTTCAGGATATTAACGATACTACAAATGTATTTGTTATATGATAGTCATGTTTTCAATTATTTTCACAGATTAAAAATCATAATTGAACTAGTATTAGAGGATTCACATAGTTAAAAGATGTCTTCTCTAAAAGTGAGTGGTTAGCTCCTGACCACCCTGCTTCCCTTGTTTGGTTTAGGGGGCATACTTAAAAAAAAAGTTACATTAACATTTTCCTTTACGAGCCATTCGTCTCTTCTGTTTGTCTAGTGCTTTCCAACAACTCACATTCAAAATAAAAAAAGCAAAATATGGAGGATTATGATTGGCCCCAAATTACATTTCCACTTTAAGCCCCTAAAATGTTTGTGTGGCCCCCAGTGCTAAGTCACCCCTAAAATGTTAATGTTTGTGTGGCCCCCAGTGCTAAGTCACCCCTAAAATGTGTTTGTATGGCCCCCAGTGCTAAGTCACCCCTAAAATGTTTGTTTGTGTGGCCCCCATGCTAAGCTACGAGAGGAAGGCAGATGGACTGGGAGTTTTGATCCTGGAGGCGGCATGGACTGTTTCGTTGAAGAGGAGATAGAATGATGGGAGTTAGCTAAGATGGAAAGTGAACAGGGGACAGAGAAGGGCTTCAGGGTCTGGCAGGTAGTGCCGTCTGAGGCTGCCTAGCTTCTGGGAATGTGTGAAGCCCTTAGTTTCTGGTGTTCCTGATCCCCAGGTGGATGAGTACCATTCTGTGCATCAGAAGCTCAGTGCTAACATGGCCGACAACTCTAATCTCATCAGAAGTTTGCTGGTCCGAGCTGAGGATGCTCGTCTGATGAGGGACATGTGAGTATTGACCATGTCTAGCACAAGTGCAAGGTTAAAAATGTGAGCAATGTGCAACAGCAGCAACTCTTAGATGCTGGTAGGAGCATCAGTTGGTGTGATGACTTTGGAAAATAGCTTGCCATTATCAGTGATGTTCAATATCTGCACACCCTGTCATCCAGCAATTCCACTTCCAGGTTCATAGCCTGGAGAAACTTGTGCTCCTAGAAGCCGGGGGACTTGGAACAGAATGCTCAGAAAGGCATTGTTTATAGAAAGGCATTGGAAACATTCCAAACTTGTATCAACAGTATAATGGATAAATTGTGATATAGTTATGCAGTGGAATACTACTCAGCAATGAGAATGAATGAACTTCGGTAACAGGTAACAACATGAATAATTCTTACAAACATAGTGGAGATTGAAAGAAGTGAGACTCAAATATGTACCATATGCTTTCATTTGTACAGTTTGAAAATCTTTACATAGTTTGGGAAGCTCACAGAGATGATAAAAATATAAAGGAGGCAAAGAAGAGATTAGCATTTAAAGTAGTGTTTTCTCCTAGGGGTGGAGGGACGGTATTCAGAAAGGACATATGGGGAAGCTTTGGGGATGCTGGCATTGCCCCATTTCTTCCCCTGGTTATCCAAGATTTGTTCTATGAATTTTTATGAATGTGTATTTCTCAATACAAGAATTAAAGACAGATCTGTGCAAGTCTAGCTGCTAGTTTGCTTGGATGCAGAGTTCATCTCAGCAATGAAGTGTACTGAGGCGAGTTCAATAAAATGATTAACTAGTGATGGATGAAGTTTATGTTAGGATGTTGAGTCTTCCTTTCCAAGAACATGGTATCTTTATATTTGTTCAAATCACGTTTTGTGTCTTTTAGGAGTGTGTTATGGTTTTCTTCATGTAGGTTTTGTCATTTCTATTAAGTTTAAGCCTAGGTATTATATTTCTAAATGGTTTTCTGTCTGTCTGTCTATACGAACACTACTGATTTTTGTACATTGATTTTTTAATCTGCTGCTTTACTAAATAATGTTATTGTTTGGTTTTTCCATATATATGCTTATATTATCTGTAAGTTAATTTTATTTCTTTCCAATTCATTTGCTTCCAATTATTTTCTTCAAAGTACATACGATTTTTGCTTTTCCAGGCTAACTTTATCCCATTGTTCATTTCCTTTCTCTCTCTCTCTCTTTTTAAATGTCAAAAAGCTGTTGCTGGGTCTCAGCATTTAACTTTGCAGAACTGAAGGGAAGTGATTACCCTCTAAATTCCTTCTCTCTTGAATTATTTATATTTCTTTTAGAGGCTCTCAGATGTATGTATTGGCTTTTATTTTTTAAGTCAAGTTAATTGATAGCCTCTTAAAATATTCTGTGAGTTTTGAGAAACTTAACAGTTGTGTGGCTCCCACAGTGAAGATACAGAATAATTCCATCACTCATCTCCCTTTGTAGTCAGTGCCCGCTGCTTATCCGCCATCCTTGGCAAACACTGATCTCATTTCTCTCCCTATAATTTTACCTTTTCAAAATGTCATATAAATGGAATCATACAGTTTATAGGCTTTTGAGTCTGGCTTCTTACACTTGCCATGATGTCTGAGACTCTTCCATGTCATTGCATGTATCAGTAATTTGTTCCTTTTCATTGCTGAGTAGTATTCTGTTGCGTGGATATGCTGTAATTAATGTAACCAGTCAGTATTTGATGGACATTTGGGTTGTATCCAGATTTTGGTGATTGTGAATAAAGCAGCTGTACCACATGCACATCACAAGTTTTTGGTGGATGCATGTTTTCATTTCTCTTGGAAAAATACCTTGTAATGGGTCATATAGTAAGTGTGGTGTCAAACCATTTTCCAAAGTGGCCGTGCCCTTTTGCATTCCGTCAGCGGTTATTCCATATCCTTGCCAGCATTTGGTACTATCAGTGTTTTTTTTTCTGTGATTTGGGTGAAAGTTTACAGAGCAAATTAACTCTCCATACAGTAGTTCACATATACTTTGTCTCATAACATTAACTACAATTTACCAAAATGCAACAGTTCCCCTCCCACTTCCTCCTTATAGTTATCTCTTCCCAGTGTCCTTCCCTCCTTGCACTCCTGCCCCCGAGCTATTTCCCTGTGCATACACAGCCCTTCTATTCTCCCATGATGGTTCTCTCCAAGGAGTGTATCTGCCTCATGTAAATGTTCACCTCATGTGCCTGTCTTTTGTTTGGCTAGAAGCCAGAGGTGTGGGCTCAATTGCAGACCTGAAGGGCAGCTAGGGGCCATAGTCTCAGTGGTTTTATTAGGCTCTATCAGACCAGCAACCCTGGTCCCTTTTTTTTTCCAAATGATTTTGAGTTTTGTTTCACATTGTTCTCCTACTGTATCCAGGATCTCCTACATAGATCCCCCTCTGAGTGATTGACAGTGGTAGCCAGGCACCATCTAGTTCTTCTGGTCTCACAGTCGTATAGGCTGAGGATCGCATAGTGTTCCAGTCACTTGGATTAATTGTTTCCATGTGTCTTTGGTTCTCTTAATTCTTATTCACTCTTGACGAAGAGAGACCCATCATTGAATCTAGATGGCTGCTTGCAAGCTCTTAAGATCCCAGTTGCTACTCGCCAAAGTAGGAGGTGAAACAATATTTTGTGTAGTATGTTATGCCAGTTGAGCTTGATGTCCCCTTCAACTATGGTCTTGGGCCCACAGGTCCAGCTGCTCGCTCCCTCTGGGTAGCTGGCTGTGCCCAAGAAGTGACTACAGCCTTGTCCCTTCTCAGCTCTACTGTACACCTGGGAATTCTTTCTTTCTTTTTTTTTTTTT